TTATCACTGAGATTAATATTAGTGTCTAATGAATTTATGATCACTTTCAGTTATTTATAGAATATCATGGGTTTTGATCTGGTTTATAGTTTTTATCATCCAGTTAGTTTAATATTTATTCCAAATTATTTATGAAGATTGTATTAACATGTTGAAACTTGGAATTATATCCCATATCAATTTTCCCCTTTCAAGTCAACCAAACACAGGGTTCATGGTGGTTACAGGAAATATTTTAAATTTACAGGGTTCTTTATCAACGCAGTGATAATATTATGTTCTCATGCAGAATAAATAGCAGACGATTTAACAGAGCAATCTCAGAAAAACTGACAAAGCAATTTTGCAGAATTCCTTCTCCCCTACTCCAAATATAATCAGTACATCAGAACCTGACAAATGCCTGAGTGTGTGAGAAAAGCTACCCCAACAGAGTGCCACCAACATTGCTAACAGGAGATGGAATTAAGGGGAACACAGAATACTGGACACTTTCTTTACTCCATTCACTTCATACTCTCCCAGGATCCATTGCCATCAGATTAAGAACTTTAAATAGAGCTGAGTCATAATAATTTACTTCACAACCTTCTCTGGCCAGCATACTATAGACATTCAGAAACTATAATGTAAATCTTAACTCCATTTTACTATCTCTTACTCTTTCAACAAGTAACTTTTACTTCTGGCACTGAAGAATTAGGTGAATAACATGTTCCACATTCAGTTCACCCATCACTTCGACTTTGTAACCTTCTGAGATCTCTCCTGAGGTATATCCCTCATGAAATTTCTGTCCAGACTGAAGATCTCCAGCTTCTTAGTCTCTCCACACAGTGTAGCTACTCTAAACCTTGGGTCATTTTAGCTGTCCCCCTTCATCTGTGCTTTCTGTAAGTTCCTTTGGCATGCAGAGAGATCTGCTCACAGTGACCACCTTGAGCACACCACAACATTAGATATCAGCAAAACAACACTTTTGTTTTGTTTTTTTCATAATACCCTTACTGATGCAGCCACTCCATCCTGTGCCTGAAAACACTGTCAGTGACAAAGCCATGATCACTTTCAGGAGTTGTAACAAGCTCAGCATCATCTCAGCATGGTATGATCAGTTTGTCTAAAATATATTCATTGCTTCACATTTGTTTCTGATGAAGATCATCTGCCCATCTGCTCAGTTTTGGAGTTCCCACTATCAACTCAGCATTTCACTACCTGAGGCTTAATGTCATCGGCATCCTTGGAAATGTCACCATCCACCTCCTGTCTTCACCTAAATTCTTACATTCATGCACCTTCCAAAAATACTCTGTATTGCTTTCTGTTACTCCTGTAATCTCCCCCCCTCCACCCCACAATGGATCTTTAAATTCTTGAAAATATGGGCTATGGGCTTTAGAAAGATGTCCAAAATGGAGTGTTGATGCCCCAACTGTAAATGGGACTATAAAAATCAATTTCTTTCATCTTGGTAAGCAAAGAGCAAAAACAGAGTTTACAGTATTTAAAATTTCCTTGTTGTTTAAATAATCCTTAGCAACATTACATTTAATCTGAAATCAGTCAGATTTCATTTCTGCAATCCATTCAATTGCTAATTTTTTTCCCCTTTCTTTATCCTGAGATCTTCTGACCCAAAAAAAAATAATAGATCACTACTCCTCTGAGCTACTGAGAAACAGCTTTGAAAGCAGATCACAATGTACTGACTACAAAAAAAAATAAAACATAAAACATAATAAACATTTTGAGACAGTTTTATTTTCTGTATTGAAGAGGGTTCTAAATGTTAGAAATGTTAAGTTTCTAAAACTATTTTATTTTTCTTTGAAATTATTAAATGAAAATATATTATTCCCAGTTTTCTCTCCCTTAAAACACGTTCTTCCATTATAGTTCCATTTTCTCATTCTCAAAATTGACTTTAAAAAAATCTTAGAACCCTCTTCATAATAATAAAATTCTTTTAACTATGAATATCTTATTTTTAGGAAAGATAGGCAAATATTATAAGACTATTAAAACTTACATGATCCAGAATATAAGCATTCTGACATAGCAGTTGGGTTTGCTTTGTTTTTGTTTTTTTAATAGTCTATTAAATCTATTCTGAAAAAGGGCATCATAGGCTATTTGACCCACATTTATTGTAATTTATATTCTACTAAGATACTAAAATAAATTTGACATGGTGCAAACACATGCATTGGGCAATGCTGTGACTATATGGGCTCTTTCGGACTGCAAATAGAGGTCACTTCCTTCAACTTGCCCTGTGTGCTTTGATCATGCTTTGATCTAAATCATAAATTAAAGCACTTTGGATGACACAGGTTTCAAGTCCTAAAAAGAGATAACCTGGCTGTACCCCAAACTCAATTAGGACAACTAATGAAAAACTAAAAGATGTCAAACATAAGAGATATGAAAATCCCATGACACCATGGCTATATAAAGACTGTGCAGCTAATAAGCCTATGGTCTTTTCATGCCCAGGATCATCAATAATTGAGAACTGGCTAGAAAACACCACTTATTCCTGTCAAAGAGGTTTCTTTCCTTTTAAAATCTAGTCTGTGAAAGTACAAAGATGAAAAAATCGAAACAAACAAACAAAACCCACAAAGAAAACAAACATACTGTGAGGCAGCAGCTAAGCTGAGGGTAGGATTTGTTTTCAAGACCTAGAATCAAAAAGCGTTCTCTGGCTCTGACACAGTCAGGAAGACTGGGTGACGAATAGAAGCATAAACTCCTCCATCCTGATGCACAAATATTACTAAAGTAGACCCGGAATATTTACACCAGTTTCACACAACACTTACCAGTATTCCTTCCGGTACAATACATTTATTCACACAAAGTTCACTAACCAAGGTTATACAAGTTGCCACTCCAAAGGAAAACAAACCAATCAGTCAGCATACTAAACAGACCAAAAGGAGGAACACATGTGCAAGTGTTTCTGCTCATCTAGGGAACATAACTGTACTATTCCCTCTTAACAGATCATAGGCTTCCTTAAAATATTGAATGTGCCATGTAATCCTGCTAACGCTGCATTGAGCCAAAAGAGCATTCAGATAGACATTCCTACTGAAAAATGAAGGACCATACAATACCAATCTTAACCACAACTGGAACACATTTTATAGTCTCAGACAAAGCTCAACCATTGATCTCTTTCTTTTGTGTTGCCGAAGAACTTTACAGGGCTATTAAAACCCTGTGTTATTGTTTTTAAGTGCTAGCACTTACATAATAAGTTAATGCTTAGAAACACAGATGGGTTTCCAATGTACAAAAGAACAGCTTTTAGTGTGACAAGTAAAGGCCAAGGACTCCCTTGGGTAACAAGCTGCAGTACCATTAAACAACTGGAAATACAGTGGAGAGAATTATTTAAGGCATCCCTGAACCTTCTGACAGCTGTAGATTACCTGTTGCATTTCCTTCCCTAACACAGAATCACAGAATCACTTAGGTTGGAAAGACCTGTAAAGTCATTTGGTTCAACCATTAACCCAGTACTGACAAGTCCACAACCAAACCATGTCTTTTAGTACCATATCTACATTTAAATACCTCTGGGGAGACCTTATAGTACCTTCTGGCACCTAAAGAAGGCTTACAGAAAGGCTGGAAAGGGACTTTTCACAAGGGCATGTAGTGATAGGACAAGAGAGAACTGCCTTAATTGAAGCAGGGAAGATTTGATTAGATATTAGGAAGAAATTATTTACTTCTGAGTGGTGAGGCACTGAAACAGGTTGCCCAGAGAGGTTGTGAATTCCTCATTGCCAGAACTGTTGAAAGCCAAGCTGGATGGGACTCTGAGAAACTTGATCTTGTGGAAAATGCCCTATCCATGGCAGGGAGGTGTGGATTAGACCATCTTTGAGGCGCCTTCCAACTTAAATATTCTATGATTCTATTGTAACTCAACCACTTCCCTGGGCAGCCTGTTCCAATGCCCAACATGTCCCAAATGAATGTTTGATCATGATTAAGCTCAGTAATAACCATTCAGGACAAACCTTTATGACACTAGTAAACATTTTCACAGCTTTTGCCCCTCCATGGCTCTGAACAGAAAAATGGTACATGACACACCAGAATTAACAAAATTTGTTGCACACTACCAGTTCTTCTAATCGATCTCTAGCACTCATTAATGGACCTCTATAAGGAATATTCTGCTATTTAAAAAAAAATAAACATGGATGAAGAAAGCTCTACCTCTCTTTTCTACTGTATTTTAAAGCAGAATGGCATATCCAGTTAGGCCTAGCGTCTAGGTAAAGAACACATGCTTTTATAAAACCTGGTTCAAACAGCAACTTTTTTTTTTTAATTAGAAATCTTCTTTTTAAGGATGTAAAGCCATTTTTGCATTATCTGTAACTCAAACGCTCCAGCTTCCTATGACTGAATGAGAAAAATAAATTGATGTGAAAGTGATTATAAATAACATTAAATTGAGCAAGCCATTATTTTTATCCAGCCTATGAAATGTAGATGTTAATGGCATTAACTATGATAAGTGAATTGGATTAGGATTAACTGTATCAATTAGCTAATGTATTATTAGTACTACAGAGATCTATTTTAATGACATACAATCAAATAGAAAGGTTATAAGTCAATTGTAAATTCTGTAAATGAAGCTCCAATCTGTCCTATTTTTAAATCAAGCAATAACGTATGCTAGTTTGTGGAGTTTTTTTAAACAGTAAGAGTGAAATTATAAAAATGTGGAGTTGGGAAGGGAGTGGGGGGTCACTGACAGGAGTAGATAGCAAAGAAAACAAAACAAAACAAAACATAAATTACGGTGGATGCAAAATTTAATTATTGTTAATTCCTTATATACGACACCTCTAGAAGTTGAGAACGCTCGAAGTTGAGAGCTCCTTTGAACTATTAAGCAAGAATCAAATCTAAAATAACTAAAAATAACCAGAATATTTTTGCTTTTTTGCTCCCTTTTAACCTACCTCTTTTTTTTCTCTACCAGCTGTTTGCAGATTTCCTGCCACCGGGTATTCAAACTTGCCAGTTGTTCCTTCAGCACTTTAGCATCTGCTGTTGATGACTGCTCAATAATCTCTTCACCAGTTACATTCAGTGTTTTGACAACAGTTTGCTGTCGCCCAATGCCATCCTGAAGCTCCTGTAAAATACACAGTACATATACGTATTCATGAAAAAATGCTTCATCACATATTGGCCAGATGGAAAGAGGTGAAAGTTTTTGCTCTTCTCTGAATTCCAAATGAAAAATCCAAAGATAAGTAGACAGAAAGACATCTCATGATTTTGTAACAAGTACCTTTCAGTACCTCTGCAGCCTTTTATCCCCTCCTGTATTCTTGTCTACTTGAGATCATTGCAGTAATACTCTGCACATCAATTAATAAGTAAAACTTGTGAACAAATATATTTCTACATACCCAAAGGAATACACCACATTTACTTAATAGCCTACAAAGCATTGTCAGGTTTGAACAGCACAGTGTGTGGAGTCCCTATTAGCTATCAACTGAAATGAGGAATGTCAGGAAAGCAGAGACTGTTTGAAATACTTCTGATTCCATTAAAGAACATATTTTTCTCCACTTGCAACAAGCCTAATAATCCATTCACTTTGGAAATTTTTGTTTTGGATTTTTTTGTTTTGGTTTTTGTTTTGTGGTTCTTTGTGGGGTTTGTTTATTTGTTTGCTTTTGTTTTGGTTTGGTTTTTTTTGGGGGGGGGAGGTTGATTTTGTTTTGTTGGTTAGTTTGGTCGGTTTTGTTTGTTTTTCTTGTTTTTTTAACAGGACCGGGGGAACTTTTTTCCAAGGAAAAGTGGTACAATATTTCTACTTACACAACAGAATGAAAAACTACTACAAATAACCAAAATGGACCATTCTCAAGTTTTACTAAATGCACAGGGATACATTTTTCTACATCTTTTATGATTAAAAAAATTTATCCCTGTAGTTATCTTGCCTCACATTTATAACCATGTTCTGAATTTGTAGCTTAGATTTTAACACTGCCTGCCTGCTTAAGAAAGTTTGTATTTATAAATAAATAAATAAATAAATAAATAAATAAATATTTTCATATTTTTAATCATCAATAGAGCATGAGTATTTTTTCCTTCAATTACTCAAAATTTGCAACCAGGCAAGTGTAAAATCATTTTCAATGGTTTACTGCTAAAATAAACAGAAACTGAAAAACGCATCAAAAATCTCCACTGTGGTATTCATACTTATGATAGTTTTTCACAATTTCAGGAAGTGTGTCTGAATCCCACAAACATGCAAGTGCCTTCAGTAAAATGCTGAATCTATCTTTTCTGGAAGAAACCAAACACTTCAGCCTATCATACTCTACAAAAGTATTATATACTTGTTTTCTCTTTCTAAATGCATAACATAAATTGCACAGCATGTTAGTAAATCTGCATATTAACATTAAATAAAATTTGTCCATGAAACAGTTAACCACTTTCCAGGAAGGCAAAAGATAAGCATAACTACTTCTCATGCTTTTTCTGATGTATATCTTCAGTCATGAGGTTATGATTGAAGTTCACAAACTGAACCACTCTGGAAATCACTTTGTTCTAACACAATCAAAACTCAGTTGCCAGCTATTAATTCACTAAACTGCATGGAATCAGTTGCATGCCCTTTCTCAGCTTTAGCACAGATTTTACATGGACAGCTTGAACAGCAACAGACCCTGGGACACAGAGATCAATGTCAGTAGGTTGCAGTGGCATTTACCCACAGTTCTGGATAGGAGTCATAGCTGAGGTAAAGGTTTACTGTGCTGAGATTTAGCTTATTCTTACTACACTTTCTGTTTGAAAAGAAAAGAAAAACCTGGAAGTTTCTTTCAGGTTGTTACAGAGGAGAACCCCCTGCAAATTTATTCCTTCCTTACATTCCTCTCAGTAAAAACTGGTCTGTTGATGTTGGACGTTTTTTCCAAACTACTTTCATGTCCCACAGTTTCAGAATAAGAAGTAGCAGTGATGAGCATAACATGGCAGTAATCTGGATACTGTTTTATTATGTCTTGATAAGATGAGAACCATTTTTCTGCAGGATCCTGGCAAGCTATGTGACAGTCCAGTCACGTCGCATCAAGCACCTGCTGGCCCACAATGTCCCAGCACACTTTGCTTTGCCTGTGGAACATGTAAGGTTTTAAGATACCATTGTAGCAGAAACTGCAAGATGTTTTAAGACCCAGAGAAGACACATAAAATCTTCTTCCTTTGAGGTATCAGATTTTATTTTCTTTCTGTGATGCACACTAATAACACTAATACAATAGTACCTGGTCCAACAGTTATTTTCAGGTACATGATTTCACTATTAGCAATAAACAGCAGTAATGGTCAGGTAGTTTGCCTAAATTCAGATGTTGTCTACCCTTGTGAGTCTGAATTGGCCTTTTCACTACCCACTTCAGTTTTGGTAATGCCCAGCTTAAAAGGAATACCTAGTTTTTGTACATATTCACTGTATTTTACACTGATTTTAGCACTAGTGCCTTTGCAATGTGCAGAGGGGACTATTACATGGGTAAATTGTTACAACGTATAGTTTGAGGAAAAATATATTGCAGTAAGTGCCTTATTTCCAGAAAGGTATTTGAAACCTTTGTGCTATTGCATGCACCTTTTGAAGTTAAAATCCCAAACCAGTACAACTACTTTTACTGAAAAAAATAAATTATAACAAAGTTTCTACTTATATTTAAAAGGACCATTCATTTAGAATAGATGATCAAGGCTAGGAGAACAAAGAAGGGAAATTCTACTTCTGAAACTCCAAAGTTTTTAGAAGCAAACTTATTGGAATTTAGTTGTTATCTCTGCATCAGCTTTTCTAAATGACACAAATAATGATCACTCAGTATACTATTATAAACTGAAATGCTAATTAAAAGCCCATTTAAGTACTCTGAGCCTTTTTCCTGTGTTCACAGCATCTTAAATTAGTTTTTCTTCTTCCCCCAACATTCACACACACAGACACATACAGACACACACACACAAGCAACAAGTACATGATTTTCACACTTATTTCAATTGGCAAAAAATTAAACGAGGTAATTTTCTCATTTATCCCATGAAATTATATAATAGGTTTTACTTAGAAAATAAAAAAGAAAATAGCTAGCTCATACACAGAGATGGTCTTGGAACTTAAGATCTCTAATGCTGAAATGGGAACCTTGCAAAGGATGCATAAGAAGGAGAAGTGTGAACTTCCACCAGAATGTAAGGGAAGGCTGTAAGAGAAGGCTTCTGGCCATCTACATTTCAGATCATCATAAAGAACCCAATTTGAGACTATTTTTTTACAAGTACTCTAGGCATTGGACACTTTTCACATGATTAAACAGAAACACATGTTCTGATGAAGTTCCTCTCGATTCCACGCCCATGAAAAAAGTTTTTGTTGATAGGGGGTACTGTACAAAGCACAGCCTCCCATGAGGACATTTATTTTTAAAAAAAAAACCATTTTGAATTTAACAAAAGGGTTTTTAACTGTTTTGCTCAAAGTCACATTTTCACACACTCATCCCAGAGCTATTAACCACAAAGATGCTTTTCACAACTTCCATACAGTATCTCAAATTTGTCAGCACTTATAGTTTCCTTTTAACCTACGGTTTCCTATTAACTTCCCCTCTATCCTTACCACACACCTGCATGAGAGTAAGGTGCTGGGAGCCTGCACAACCTTTCCTTCCATGGCCCAAAGGTTTATGGTTCTACAAAAGGAATATTAACAACAAATGTTTCTTGTAGTTTCACTTGGCGTCTCACCTCTTCATACAGAAATGGCAAACAAAAGGACACATTGCCCTTTGGATTCCCAGCTTACTCAGAAGGCCATTGAAGATACTTATACTTGCAATTATGCAGTTTCTAATCACTTTATGAACAGAGTGTGCAAACAAATTTAATTAAAATTATATGTTTATATAATACTAAAAAAACCAAACAAAAATAAAACCAAAAAACACCTTAGAAAAGATCTCACCATACAGATATAAGAAAGAATTTTCCACAATGATAGTGGTGAAATACTGGAATACAGGTTGTCCAGAGAAGTGGTAGATGACCCACCTTTGGAATCATTCAAGGTCAGGCTGGACAGGGCTCCTGGTGACCTGATCTAGTGGAAAATATCCCTGCTCATTGCAAGGGAACTATGATTCAACCTTTTGTATATAAGAAGAAGTAACTTATATAATTGATTAAAGAACTCACCAAGCAATTTCAAGTATGTTACATCATTCCATTCCTAATTGCCATCTTTTTTTCTGATGCCTTTCACAATGCTCATGACAAAAAGAGAATATATTTGTTCAGAAAGATTCTTGATATAAATTAAAACAGCAAAAAGAAAACATAAAATTTGAGTGGATGAGGATTTGAAGTAAATCCGTTTGCTTTTTCCATACTATGTAAATTAAACATTCATCAGAAGCCTTACCCACTTACACAAGAGGCTACCTGAATGGCATAATTTTGCCTTATTTGTTATTTCTTAGTTAACTTGAACATATATCAGACAACCCTTTCTGCAATCTCATTTACTCTTGTCATTGACAGAAATAGCATTTTACCATTAAACAAAATGAGACACTATTCTTTGAGTAATCTTAGGATCACTTTCCTCTTTTCATTGTGGTAGATAAAGGAACTTAACAATAATTTACTGTTATGGAAAAGCCCTGCAGCAAGACTAAGAAATACCACAAACAAGCTAATTTCTGTCAGAAAAAAATAGTGGTTACAAAATGTTTTAAGAGAAAAATAATGTGTTGCCTTTCCTTCACGTGGGGTAATGTAAAGATCCAGAAAAGCATGTAAAGGTACTATGCACCACTTTCAAAAACCTGTAGTCTTAAATTCAATGTTAATGTGCTATTCTTCAGTCATTTACAAAAAAATGTCTTCTGTCTTCAATTGTATAAAGCCATACAGTTGACATAAGTGTCTACCCAGATGCAATAACATAAATCAGAGAACTGTGAAAACATTTGGTGGAAAACTATCCCCAAAACAATTTGATAGCATTTGGTTACCAGAATGAATTTACCCATTAAGAGTATGTACCTCTGTTCAAGATTCTATTAGAAATAA